CTGGTTGGGTCTTTCATCACCCAGCCAGTTATGGATTTCCTAACCTTGTTCGGGGAGATCAATGGATCATATACCTACTTAGTGAAAGCACTGAGTGAGCCACCATAGTGGTTCAGGGCTAATGTAACACATTCACACATACACTGTTTTTGTTCTGAATATAGTGCCATGGTCAATAATAGCTTAAGGAAGCTGCTGATGACAAACTTCTGAGAAAAATGTGAGAAAAACTGCATCAGAAGTCTCTGGCCAATTTCCCCCTTGCCCCGATGGTGTATTTGTTAAGATGTAGGCAGCTGGTCATGCTTCCTAGTGAGCTTATAAAACTGAATTATGATCAAGAAGATTTCCATGTAAAGCTGAAAATATACTAAGAGGTCAAATCAGGCTTTTCAGAGCCATATGTGAAACCATCAGTTAAAAAAAGAAAGAAACCTTTTTGCTTAAGGCCAGCAATGTCTCATTTCATTAGTTTAGGTCAGGGGTAGGCAACCTTGGCTCTTTTATGGCTCGTGGACTTCAACTCCCAGAATTCCGGAGCTAGCAGGCTCAGCATGGAAACCTCTCCCTTTCCCCTCAGCATGGCTGGCTCAGGAATTCTGGGAGTTGAAGTCCACGAGTCATAAAAGAGCCAAAGTTGCCTACCCCTGGTTTAGGTCGATCTTTCTCAACCTTTGCTGGCTGGGGAATTCTGGGAATTGAAGTGAGGGGTCCTAGTGCTAGTCTGATGATGCTACCTAGTTAGGGTAATGAAATATGTGCAAGAAAACAAACAAGCTCAGAGAGCACCAAGGACCCCTAATTTCAACCCTGAGCTACAAATATTCTGCTTTAATTTAATTTAATTTAATAATTTAATTTATATACCGCCCTTCTCCCGTAGGACTCAGGGCGGTGCACAGCATATTAAAACAGACAGACAAAATACATCAAAGAACAAAAAAAAACCCCATAAAACCAAATTAAAAGCCAAATATTCGAAGCTGTGTGTCAATTAAAATTTTCTTAAAATCATCCCTACCTAAAATCCTCCCTAGGTCAGGCCCGCTTGCTGGAAAAGCCATGTCTTGAGGGCGCGGCGGAAAGTAAGGAGATCCGGAATCATCCGGATCTCGGGGGGTAGTTCGGGTAGTTGAAGTAGTTCGGGTAGTTCGGGTAGTTCGGGGGGTAGTTATTGGGAGTTGAAGTCTCCATATCTCCATATCTTAAAACTGCCAAGATTGAGAAACACTGGTGTAAATCATGGAACTCCTGTGATGAATTTTTTGAACTTCAGTTCTAACACAAGTCAGATTTTCAAAGGATTCATTGTCTGAGATGGGGAGATGCATGATTTGGGAAAACTAAAGAAGGTTACACATGAGATTCAAATTGAGAGGGAATGGGAATATGCTTACTTTATTTTCTGCTTCTTTTTTCCACTCAATTGTGTTCAATTCTTGAGGAGAAATTGATGGTGCTTCTAAACAGCTAAAATGCTGGCAAGAATTAAACAGTGTTTTTGTGAACAGATAGGAGAAAGCTTCTTGTTTGGACATTCATAAAATTCATAAAATTGTTAAGGGTATGAAAGATCTGCTAGAAAAAACAACAACAAAAATGAATTTTTCCTAACTCTTTTAGACACCTAAAAGATAAATGAGATCCCTAAAATGCCAAGTTCAGCCAAAAACAATACAGAAGAGATGAATCATCTGGCAATAGTTTTATTATCGAACATTTTTCTTGGCCAGTCACAAATCTCACTGAAAAATAGGTTATATGCGGTGTGAGCCACAGAATTCAGTCACATTTATTTCTTTTCAAACCAGTTCTAAACCATCATTTTATAAAGGGACTGGGGTTTTATTAATAATAGTCAAACATTACCTTGATGATTCCCAGGTTATTTGGCAAGAAACAACAGCAATTTCAAAAGGGGTTTCAATTTTATTTTGGGGAAAACTCGTATGCCCTAATAATGATTTAGAAGGCATCTTCTAAAGATTTTGCCTGTGCTAGCAGAAGTTCATAAGATTTGTAGTCCAACACATCTGATGGGCAGTTGGGGAAAATAATCCTGAAGAATTATGGTTTCACGAGTACAGAGGCTATTTGGCACTATGACATCAGACAGGAGACTAAGCCAAGGGCTGGTGTGACATCAGTTCATCTGGTGAGAGTCTTTTCCTTCCAGCACATAATTCCAAATAATTACTGGAATAAAAGTGTTCTATTCTTTATAGATTTGTCTGGATTGGAATCTGCATCTAAACAGAACTTGTGTCACTGTTTAAAGTCAAAGTGCTTCTAGTCATATGATTTCTCTTGTAGATTTTCATCAGTTGTTTATTGGGTATGAATATGACATCTTTTTGCTAAGGTATATGAGCTAAAAAATTTGACCAACTAAAAAAAATCTTGAAGAAGGAAGATGCAGAGATCCATCTTTCCTAACAAAACATAGTCCTGAAAATGATGGTAACCTACGCTGCTGTGATTGGTGCAGAGAGCTTCACAGCACCAATGCTTGCTTCAGAAACAGATTATCTGTGATCCCATATGTCTTGAGAATAAAGCAATCCATATCCCCCCAAAAAAGGTATCAACAAAGTCATTCAGCACCTGTCTCAAAGATGCTAGCAAATTCGGTAAGAAGCATCTCTACCACCTGATTCTGGTATATCATATCCTCTATCAGGCTGGCTACATCACACTCATGTCGCAACAGTGTTGGCCCAAAAACAATGCCAATGTTCTGGGTTGTCATCCGATTGGTATCTGAGTGATCCATCACCCTGAATGGGGAAAAAAAAGGCTGTAATGAGAACACCACACTATTTTGGCCCCTTTCAACGTATCCATTGCTAAAGTAGACAGCCAGATTTAATTGAGATTTCATTTCTAAAACAAAATATACCGAAAATCATTTTCCTTAACCTGTAATCCATTTGATTGGCTAAATAGTCAATCAAAGACACATCAGTCAGGGCAACAAATCGTAAGAGAAAGAAAAGACAAAAGTATGAAATTGCTTCTTCGACAAAACAACCTTTGGATATCCTGTAATTTCTGTTTCCTTATTCCCAAAGTTAGCTCCAAGATCAAATTTACAGGCAGTTGCTCAAATTAGCCATGTAAGGCAATGATTTCCATTTAAATTCCCCTCCAGAAGGCAAAATATGGTTCTACACCACCTCATGTCCAGGAAGTGTTAACCCAAATATTCAACTCAATTTTCCTACCAAATTCTCATGACTGATGAGTCTGTACGAAGTTGGGGAATCCACTGCAACTGAGGTTAGGAGATGGGACTGCCTGAAACGACCTCCCTATCAGTGGTCAAGTTCAGTGGCACTATTCAAAGCCTACAGGTCTTTCAAGAACATTCTAGCTGGCCGTGTAGTACAAGCTGCAACAGCAAAACCACTGATATTGCTAGTGCTCAGTTATAGAACATCACTGTTGGACTGATAGTCTGCTCAGCTATAGAACAGTCCAATAATCCTGTACAGGTAGTCCTCGACTTACGATCACTATTGAGCCCAAAATTTATGCTGATAAGCAAGGCAGACGCTAAGCGAGTTTTGCCTCCTTTAACCACTTTTCTTGCCACAGTTATTAAATGAATCAGTGCAGTTGTTCAGTTAGTAACAGGTTGTTAAGCGAACAAGGCTTTCCCATTGACTTTGTTTGTCAAAAGGTCACAAAAAAAAGTGATCACGTGATCCCGGGACACTGCCATAATGAGCCAGTTGCCAAAGTTCCAAATTTTGATCACCGGACCGTGGGGATGCTGCAATGGTCGAAAGTGTGAACATCAGTCACTTTTTCAGTGCCCCTGTAACTTTGAAGGGTCACTTGTAAGTAGAGGACTACCTGTACTCGGATGCAGGAAAATTTGTAAATATGAATATGCAAATGTTCTTTTAAAATGTGGATCTCAGTCTGAATTTTCAGGTTTAGCTTCCTAAAATATGCATAACAAGAAGTAATTGCAATGGTAGCCTCCGTTTAATGAATAGATTCTTTTTATTGCATCTTGTTCAAAGATGTGAATGAGCAATTGCTCTCCAATTCATCTGCTTTGTTTCCTAGCTTTGTGAAAGAGAAATTTAAACATTGGTTTCCTTTTGCTATTTTTTTTCCTACTGGTGACTTTGTTTGCTCTGCTATAAAAGAAAAAAGGAGACTTAATACAGGTAGTCCTCAACTCACTAAAGCAGTGATGGCGAACCTTTTAGAGACCGAGTGCCCAAACTGCAACCCAAAACCCACTTATGCATTGTCGGGTGCCAGGTGGGTGTGGCCCATTGGGTGGGCATGGCTGCAGTGATAATGGCAGACTGGGTGGGACTAAAAAGTTCAATCAATCAATTCCAACTTTGCAAGATCTTTTTTTTCCCGCGAGAAGTTGAAATTCACTGATTGACTGAACTTTTTTTTTTTGGGTACACGGCGGCGGAAGCCTAAAGCAAAAAGGTTTTATAAAACCCAGCTGAAGGACTAGGACTGGGGTGACGGCGCGCGTGCCCACAGAGAGGGCTCTGAGTGCCGCCTCTGGCACCCGTGCCATAGGTTCGCCACCACTGCACTAAAGGTTCGTTTAGTGACTGTTTGAAGTTACGAAAGCACTGAAAACAATGACTTCTGACCACTTTCGCACATGACCGTTGCAGCATCCCCACGATCATGTAATCAAAATTCAAATGCTTGGCAACTGGCGTGTATTTATGACAGTTGCAGTGTGTCCCAGGGTCACATGATCACCTTTTTGTGACCTTCTGACCAGCAAAGTCAAGAGGAAAACCAGATTCACTTAATCACTGTATTATTAATTGAACAAGTGCAGTGATTCACCTAAACAACTGTGGCACGAAAGGCTGTGAAATGGGGCTAAATTCACTTGACAATGGTCGCGCTTAGCAACATAAATTTTGGGCTCCGTTGTGGTTGTAAGTCGAGGACTGCCTGAAACAAAAGCCTGATTCTGCCAGGAAGAAAGTATTATTCGAGGTAATTTACTTGCGGAGGTGCTGAAGTAAGTAATGCAATGTGTCCCGGTTTGGTTGAGGGAGACTCTGGATCAGCCCAGTAAGCTTTGACACTTTTTCCTTGTGATCGGATATCTCTGTGCAGAGAAAAGCAAAAGGTTTTTGTTTTGTTTTTTTCCCAGCTGAGGAGGTAATGTTTAGAATGAAAGACAGTCTTAACTTCCAAAGGGCAGATCAGAAATCTCCATCACATTGCTATTAGATTACATCCGGAGCTCATTTTGGAGAAGAAAATAAATTGTAATTGGGATGATAGGATTACAACAGTCTTACCCACCCACCCACCCCTCCACTTAGCCATAGAAATGGTGGGCTTGGGGTCAATGGCTCAAACAAATAATAAATCCAAATAAAGATTAAATAGAGAAAACTGCCTCACGCCTTATCTTTGAAACAGAATATCATGGCAGGATGCATGACTACAGAAGCTAAGGCAGGGGTAGGCAACCTTGGCTCTTTTATGACTTGTGGACTTCAATTCCCAGAATTCCTGAGCCAGCCATGCTGAGGGGAAAGGGAGAGGTTTCCAAGCTGAGCCATGCTGGCTCAGGAATTCTGGGAGTTGAAGTCCACAAGTCATAAAAGAGCCAAGGTTGCCTACCCCTGAGCTAAGGGAACACCACCACAATGAGATCAAAACATTCTTTTTCAACTACTCTTGGGGTGATACGTGAAGAAACACAGCAAGATGGATACCTCTTCGGCTAGCTCCTTACCACTCCTCCTTGCGCTTTATAGGGGGCTCCCTGCCTTATGAAAAAACTGACTTCAAATGCTCCATGTGTATGTGCCTCTGTACAAGCACTGGCATTTATTCATTCATTTGTTCATAGGTTTTCTACATTCGTTCGTTCAATCATTCATTCATTCACATTTACTGTAGAAACTACCCATCTCCCTCACAGAGGGACTCTGGGCAGTGTACAAATAATATATACATGTATAATATACGTGTACATATGTGCAATAAACTATTCAAATAATATGTACAATATAATTACATACATACCAACATTTGGATTGAAACATACAGAATGTAATATAAGTTTCAAAAACCGAAACCATCTTTAAATCACAAAGTTGATTTGAGAGCTGGCATGTGTGTACCTGCGTTGATGATGGCTTAAATGCTAACCAATGAGAGTTTTAACTGAATTATGCTGAAAGTTATAAGAACAATATTTGAAAGATGATGCAGGGCAAGCAAAAAGGGTATTTTTCATATAGATCATATAATTATTTAAGATTCCCCAGCCCCTCTAGCAACATTGCATTCTCTGCATTCGATGAACTGTTATGTTCCCGAAGCAAAAAATTAAGATACCCGTAGATAATCTGAGGTATATCTCAGATTGGAGAATTAGGAAAGCCTGAGATGTCTTCCCCCCCGCCCCTTCCTCCGGTGAAAACCAAGATAGACAATTTCATTTTATATAACACCTTTTCTAAAAATGAATTGCAATATTACAAAAAAGTCACAGGTTTTTAATCCTGGCTCAGAATTAACCTCTGCTGGACTCATACTGTATATTTGTGTTTGTCAAATGCTGAGGGGCAAGGAGTAGGAAGCAGACTTACTGACAGAAGCTATAAATTCATCAATGTGGCTGTAGGGCACTAGGGATTCAGGTAACTCTCGGAAGAAAAGCTTCAAGGCCCCTGTTATCACATGCACATCATCCCACTGTGGACTGGCCAGGTTCAACCTCTCCTCTAGGAAACAAGGAAGAAAAAGACTGATTCACCAAAAAGGGCAGAGTCATATCAAAAGGGACTTTTTTCAATGTGACATCTTTCTGCTTTGTTGGCAGAGAGAGTGAATAAATACCTATTAACGGACTGAAGTATAACCCCTAATCAACCGGAATGGGATAACTTGCCACAGCCAACTCGCCTCGGCCGATTCGTCACAGGACAACTCGCCATGCGACAACTTGCTACGGGGCAATTTAACAATTCAATTTAATTATTTAAAATAAATAAAAAAACTATTTTTAATTTTTGTCATTCAGATTTCATTTTGTACCTGTTTTTGCATCCCTTCTTTATTGATTCTATTCCATCGTTTCTTTGATATTAGGGTAACCTGTCTGCGGTGAGTTGGCCGTGGCAAGTTGGCCACGGCAAGTTGACTGTGGCTAGTTGGCTATGCTGAGCTGGCCATGGCAAGTTGGCTGCAGTGAACTGTCATAGACCCCTAACTGGTGAAGAATGTTGGGAGATGCATTTCAGCAAAAGCTGAGGTGTTATTAAGTTCCCCAGCACTTTTTTTAAAAGGATGAATAAATGGGGACAATGTTAATGCAGCTTCTCCTCTTTCCATGCTCTTTTCACCTGTGGTTCTTTCACTTAAGGGGCATAGCAAACCTGGATTTCCTGGTCTATTTTTTTTTTTTTTAATAACAGGCAGGGGGAAAAAAAAAGATACAGTAATTTGGCAAGCCTGAAAGATAATTGGAACAGAATAGAAAGGTCCAACCACTTCATCATCTGTTTTACTGGAAATGTTTGAGGCTATCGCTTGCCAATTCCTGCTGATTTTATAGGGAATGTTGATGCTAACTCCAAGCTGTAAGAACAGGAAGGTTATTTGCAAAAATAAAATATTGCTTTGACATCTTCACACTTGTTGTGTTAGATTAGAAGAAAAAAGTGAATGAGTGCAAGTAGTCTGAAATACTCTTGACTCCAGGTACTCATTTGCATCTGGCTGCCTTAAACTCTTACACATTTGTGAGCCCATTGGTTTCAGTGAAAGGCATAATAAAAATAATAATAATAATAATAATAATAATAATAATAATAATGATGATGATGATGATGATGATGATGATGATGATGATGATGATGATGTCCAAAAACTTTGCAAAATACATCAAGAAACTGCAGCTTCCTGCAATAATTCCAGCAATGTTACAAAAAACTGCGCTACTAAAAACATCTTATATTTTAAGGAGATACCTGGTTGACACCTAGGATGCTGGTAGCAACCCGTGTCAACCATCAGCGCCAGCCAATTTGAATGTTCAGTTGACTGAGGTTCATGTTTAATGAATAAAAGATAATAATAATAATAATAATAATAATAATAATAACAACAACAACAACAACAACAACAACAACAATAATAATAATAATAATAATAATAATAATAATAATAATAATAATAATAATAATAATAATAATAATAATAAAGTTGGAAGGGACTTTGGAGGTCATCTAGTCCAACCCCCTGCTCAGGCAAGAAACCCTATACCATTTTGGACAAATGGCTGTCCAGTCTTTTCTTAAAAACTTCCAGTGTTGGAGCATTCACCGCTTCTGGGATATAACCCTCCAGCTGCCCAATGGGTGGTTTCTCTAGTGCAGGGGTCTTCAAACTTGGCCCTTTTATGACTTGTGGACTTCAACTCCCAGAATTCCTCAGCCAGCGTGCCTGGCTGAGGAATTCTGTGAGTTGAAGTCCACAAGTCATAAAAGGGCCAAGTTTGAAGACCCCTGCTCTAATGGGACAGTTTCTAGGACATTGAAAGAGTCCCCAACACATCTGCGAAAAGCTCTGCATACGTAGATACCAGGTCCTTGTAATGACTCCCCCCCTTTTTTTCTTTTCTTGATAGAACTCCCAAAAGGCAAGATTCTCACGACTGCTCTAGTTGATGTAGCTAACTTCCTTTTCTTGGGACAGTTCAATTAAAGTGCAGAGACTCAGGAGGAAGGGGAGAAGATGTTGGGTAAACCCAGATTTGACTCTCGCTTTGGAATCAAAGCAGCTTAATTGTGGCTAAGGCAACAAATCCAACTTGAGTCACAAGAGGCTAGTGTGATTCACAAACTAAAAGAAGGACCTTCCAAGTCCAAGATAAATATTTATTTTACCAAATAAATATGGCTGCTCATCTTACATAGGAACGCTGAGCACAAAAATTGAATGTTCTCTCTCTCTCTCTCTCTCTCTCTCTCTCTCTCTCTCTCTCTCTCTCTCTCTCACACACACACACACACACACACACACACACTCTTTGGGTCAAAACGAACAAGAAGGAGGCTTGTACGAATTCAGAATATGCACCCTATGTTCAAAACATAACTTGGTTTCATTAAAGTCCCCTGCCTTTTTCATGGCTTCTGGTAACTACGGTTGCTATTTCAAAGATTGAGGGACAGAAACATTACCTTGGCAACGTTGCTCTGGGAAGACATAGCGTCCATCGGATGTCACTGCCCGTTCTGCAAAGCAGCACAGTGGTTATTGAGGACGCTACAGGAGAAACAATATCTTGTGGCAAAGGGGGAAGACAATTACTTCCACATTGGATGAGAAAAACCCAAAATTAGATAACCTCATCTAAGGGATAGAGATGAGAAGAAGGCTATGCCATGTGCACGTTCTTCTAAGAATGGTTAGCAAGGCATCTTTGAGCTGAAATGAGGAAGTCTTGTTCCTCTAGTCAGCCTTGCTTTCATCTATCATTTTCCCATATATTAAAGGGAGATAGATGATAATGATAGAGATAGATGGCAGATAGATATAGACAGATATGGATGATGATAGATATAGATATATAGATAGAGATATGGAGATAGATAGATAGATAGATGAATAGATGATAGATAGATAGATAGATAGATAGATGAATAGATGATAGATAGATAGATAGATAGATAGATAGATAGATAGATAGATAGATGAATAGATGATAAATAGATAGATAGATAGATAGATAGATAGATAGATAGATAGATAGATAGATAGATAGATAGATAGATAGATAGATAGATAGATAGATAGATACAGTGCTTTTTTTGTAAAAAAAAAAACGGTGCCGGAACTCACACACGTCATACAACACGCCTTGCCTATCCTACAAGGTTCCATCCCCAAAAGGTGCCGGAACTCCGTTCTATGACAAAAAAAGCCTAGATAGATGATAGATAGATAGATAGATAGATAGATAGATAGATAGATAGATAGATAGATAGATAGATAGATAGATAGATAGATAGATCGTTCCCTCAGTTACTCTCATTTAGTGTTTCTCAACCTTAGCAACTTTAAGATATGTGGACTTCAGCTCCTAAAATGCCCCAGTCAGGATGAAGTCCACATATCATGAAGTTGCTGAGGTTGAGAAACACTGTTCTAATTCATCTAATTGCAAAAGGAAAAAGAAAAAGATATTACAGTATGAGGACAGTAATTCCTGTAATGTCATAAGGGTAGCCAATAAATGTTTTCTATCGGAGTTTAGAGAAAGAAGTATATAGTATATGATGCCAACTGCAATGATAGTATTTCCAACAAACCTGCTGCCCTTGAAATGCTTTATCTGTTCACCTAAAGTAAAGCAACATAGGTTTTGGAAGCTTAGATATGCCTCCTACAACTCCATGTTCACCATTTATCATTCTATAACAGTGGTGGCAAACCTATGGCATGGGTGCCAGAGGCGGCACTCAGAGCCCTCTCTGTGGGCATGCGCACCATCACCCCAGTCCTAGGCCTTCAGCTGGGTTTTATAAAAACTTTTCGCTTTAGGCCTCCGCCGCCATGTGCAAAAAAAAAAAAGGTTCAATCAATCAATCAATTTCAACTTCTCGTGGGGAAAAAAAGATCTTGCAAAGTTGGAATTGATTGATTGAACTTTTTAGTCCCACCCAGTCTGCCGTTACCACCGCAGGCATGCCCACCCAATGGGCCACACCCAGCCAATGGGCCACACCCGCCCGGCACCCAATGATGTATCAGTGGGTTTTGGGTTGCAGTTTGGGCACTCGGTCTCTAAAAGGTTTGCCATCACTGTTCTATAAGTACTCACCACGGTCAACTATGAATCTCAGCTTCTGAATAATGGCCAAGTTCCCATTGACTCTATAGATCCCATCTGCATCCAGTCCTGAAAGAGAAGGATAGAACTGCTGTGAATTCCCCACTTAAATCTATGGAGTGCCAGAACTAGGGCAAAGATCCTAGCTGAGGCAGAGATGGAATGATGACCCAAAGATTCCCTACCTCTCTCTTCCACAGCTTCCACACATTGTTGGACAAATCGGGGTACTGTGCCCCCTTCTCGCTGGCACAAGGCTTCTAGCCGACAGCCAAAGACCTGATCTGGGAATAAAAATGGAAATAAAATAAAAATACGCATGGATTAAAATCAACATGTTAAACCTTTCCTTGCTAGTTCTACTTATTCTACTTATTTTGTTTTAAACTCCATGCCCAAATAAAAATAAAAATTGTAAAAAAAAAAATCTATGCCACTTGTTTCTCTCAGCCACATAAAATTCATGATCCCTCAGAATTTTTAAACTCAGATTTGTGAGCTTTAGCAATAGTGATTTGATCCAGGAACGCTAGAAACAAGAAAAAACTTAAATTTGTCTTGAGATCTGGATGAATCTGATCCTGTTGATGTTTCAAAGAGCTTTGAAGATCTGGGTCTTCACTAGGCTTTTGGTGAGGGTAAATGAACTCCTTTTGGATAATCTGAGGTAATTTTTCTTTCATTCCTGACCAGTTTTTGTCATCTTCGCCATTTTTATTCTTTTATTTTGTTCTTGTTTTTACTTGTGAGCTACCCAGAGCCGTTGCTAGTTGGGCAGGATAATAAACAAACAAACAAACAAACAAACAAACAAACAAACAAGCAAACAAACAAGGATAAGGCCAATTTTTCCCCATGACAACCTTGAGGAAGGCCAGACTAAGAAAAAAAAAATGTGGCTCAAGATGGGTAAGAGCCTGGTTTTAATGGTGCAACACTTTCACCATTAAACCACACTAACTTTAAAAATAAATAAATTAACGCAGCAAGATTTTTGCTGTGCTAGATATATAGGGAAGTAGAAACAGTCTGGTGATAATTTTTTTTATTAAAGATGGCAAATGTATTAGTTGTCATAGCACTTATTCCTGTGTGTTCAGAAAAATCACATATTTTTTGTCACTGTTTTAAGAATCCTGGTCAAAATTCTAGTGATTTGTCTCAATGTTTCCAAACTATCACTCGAAGCATTATGACAATGTGTCCCAAACCCTGATAGGGTACAAAAATAAGTCCGCGACAATGCTGACTTTCTGTACCTTTGAAAATCCATAATCTCTATCCAGTCTCCATTGCAATGAAACTACAGGGATCTGCACCATTACCTCGGATCAGTCCTTTCTCCTGTAAACTTCTCAGGGGTGGCCTCTTGGCGATGAAGCGTCTCAGCTTGCTTCTGACCCTTTTCTTGTAGACTCTGCCAGGGCTACCAGGGGCTAGAGGAGGAAGAAACAGAAGCCAAGAGAAGTTAAGGCAGTTGCATATGTCTATTTTTGACAATTTTTAGCACCCTCCCCCCACCCTCCCCATATCTTTCTGGTCTCAAACCTGCTGGCACTTCACCCTTGGAGACCCCAAGTTCTTCTTCGTCATCCCAGCTGAAATCCACAAGCTCAGCACTGTTGGACCGATAGAGTGGGTATAGAAGCGGCTCATCCAGAGGATTCTCTTGATCCTACAGTGGAGCAAGGAAGGAGCTTAATCCAGAGAAATTAACAGTCAGATGGGATGGGGCGAAATGGGCAAATGCACTGTCATGAACTACAAAAGGTTCTGTTTCAATGATATATAACCTTGGATTGATATGCTTAGGATTTCCATTGTGCCATTGTGATAAACCCATGGTAGAAAAGGCAGAGAGAGAGAGAAGTCCTTTAGGGTCATGAAGAACTACAAACTCAATAAAGGACAGTCCTTTTTGTGGACTCTGCACATCATCTGTCCTTTATTGAATTTGAAGGGTTGGCAACTAGCACTCTGCAAAATTGGGGGACTTCAGTGCCCATCAAGGCCAATTATAGCACAAACAATTATAAGGCATGATAAAAATTTTCAGACCATTTTGATGTGGTGGTTAAGACACAAGATTAAAATTGGGACCCTATGAGTTGTAACCCTGCCTTAGGCAAGGAAACCAGCTAGGTGAATTTGGGTCAGTCACTCTCTTAGCCCTAGGGTGGAGGTAAGGGCAAATCACTCCTCCAAACCTTGCCACATATAATGCATAATATTGCTTGTGCATTTGCCAAGAGACAAAACTAACTTGATCCACACACAGTCAAAAAAAGAGATTTTAGTCTAGAAGTCTCCAGGCTGCTTGCCATGGGGGCAATGTTAACTAGATAACAGTCTCCATCCTGGACAGAGTGAAAGAATTTAGGAACATCTTTTTTTTTCTAACAGCAATATTTCAAAGAAGAAAGGAAGAGATTGAGATAACTTAAAGTTCTTGGTATCTTTCACTCACTAGCCTGTGGATGACCCCTTTGATCGCCTGGTACCAGTCCTGGCTGACAGCTTCATTATCTGATTGCAAGAGATACTCATTGCCAGTCACAGTGCGAAACTAAGAAGAAACGAGGAGAGAACAAATTGGGTTAGGCAACAATTCCATTTAACCTGATCTCAAGCTCTTCTAATAGATCCTTACCACCTAAGACTATAGTAGGAATCCTAACTTAATTTTAAATGATTATGACAATAACTTCATGTAATCACTTATTCCTGTTATGTTCCTCTACTTGTGGGCAGGTGACCAAACCAGGAAAGGATAGCTTAGTGTTACAACTGAACTTGGAATTGCAGTGAAGTACAGCCAGAGAAATCAGAGTATATTAACCAAGTATCTTGATTTAAAATAGGACCACTGTGAGTCAATTCTGAAGAACTGACAAGCTTACAGTGGGACAAAGAAGGTTAGTCCCCAGTTGTATGAAGTCTCACTCCAAATATCTCAGGTCAAGATGGACTGGGGTTCCCACACTTACATGGATGACATTCCGCTTGCTGGACAAATCACGGGCCCACTCAATACGAGCCCCACGCAAATCGACACTGCTTTCAGGCCGGCTACCAGATGGAGTCTGCAGGAAAAAAGATCATAGGGTAGGAGGCTCCCTATACTCCATTGCCAGACTTGATCTGTGTCAGAAGTCACTGAGAAGGGACGAGGAAGATGGGTACTAGTCCATGCTTACTTCCTTATTGATTTATCACAGCATCAGAGACTTTTGTATTAGTGGATGTATGGATAGCTGAGAGATGGAGGAGGAAGGGGAGAAAATAGAGACAGAGAAACATATATGCATACAGCAGTGGTCCCCAACATTTGGAGCACCAGGGACCATTTCCATGGGGAGAGGTTTTTCTGTGCATGGTTTTGTGTGCTGCCTGCATCTTGCGGATGGGGTTTTGCTTGTTTGTGTGGACCGGTTGCTGGTATGCCGCAGCCCGGTACTGGTCCACAGACCGGGGGTTGGGGACCCCTGGCATACAGTATATATATGGACACACGTCATCTCTGAACAATACTGGCAGTGGGCATATCTAAAGAGTGTATTAGATCCCCAAATGGGCAAGATCACCCCTTTTATTCAAAAGTCTCTCCCTTTTCCTCTCAGCCAGTAATCTTTCCAAGGGCACCTGTATGACTTTTCCAGCGATTGAGCTGACTTCTTCCAGAAAGCTTTTAAATTAGTGAGAGGGTTGTACAAAGCTAGACTGCCAACCATACAAGACCTTAGGCTGCCTTTCCTGTTTTGCCATTTAAGCATCTGTCTGCTGCTGCACTCACCCATGCAGCTGTCACCTTGGGGTCCTTGTAGAACATGAGGCTGTTCCCGGCTAATACCAACCACGATGATGTCCAGGACTTTCTGGAGGTAGAGGAAAATGAGAGAAGCTGGAGCCCAGCCCGCCAGAGCCATAAACAAAACATACAACCTTCCCCGGGCTGCCAAATATAAAAGTGTCAAAAGGTGCTTGAAGAGTCAACATCAATGTTCCCACATGCCACCATGTGGCACTGAAAGGATCTGTTTGTGCTTGGAATAACCTCTGCAATGTAATAAATCACCATATCTCAACGTGCCAGTGACCAAGTATTGGAGGAGACACCAAAGAAGAGCAATCTTGCTGACAGTTTCTGGTCTCAAAAACATTTCCTGCATTTTCAGATCATAAATGAGAAATGCCATTCTCCCCCTATCTTGCTGAACAATTGCTAATGAAATAATAGACTGATGGAGACAAAAGTATTATGAACTGGGGTTAGGAGACATCCTGCTGACTTTCTTCCTTCAAGGTCTTCTTTTGAGAGGAGAATATCCTGAACTCACATTTATTCTGAACTTGCTTTCATTAGCACAGAGCTAAGTGTTGGACCTGTGTACAAGTTCGGTTCATGTTGTACATACAGCCATCATTTGACAAGTATAAGTGGGCATGTATCTTCTCTGACATCTCCGCTATGTCCCGTTTCCCTGGATTTGCTTCCCCTCCTCTCCCTTACAAAAAGGCTGGGTTCTGCCTTATTTTGTGTTGGAATACAAGTCAGAATGTATTTTGTATTGCAAAAACTACAGAATCATTCAGCCAGTAGATGGCAGGTTTTAGTGTGCATCTATGGTTATATATGGTTTATGTTCTGAGGAGTTTCCTGATACAGTTGTGACAGTTCAAACCGATAAGCAGCAAGGCCCATATTGACTGTGTACTCTGTACATTTTATTTGATCTGAATGGCTATGTAACCATCGTCTGCTACCAATCTGAATGGCTATACAATAATCTTCTGCTACCATTTCTATATAATAAAACAGATTTTCAACATTTTGCCCACACTATCCCCCTTCGGATTTATGTCAGTGACTCAGAAGGTCCTGTTGTGATTCCTCGGCAGCCAGTGGACCCGGCAGCTGAGTCTGAGGAATCAGAGAAGGAGGAGGAGGGGCCTGGAGTGACATCAGAGTCAGAGGAAAGCTCTGAGGAGCTCCAAGACTTACAGTCTGACAAGGAGCCTGGCCCCTCTACTCGCGCTCAGGCTGAGACACAGCTGTGCTGGGAGTCTGAGTTGGACAGTGATGAATCACAGCTGGGAGATATCCAGGATGCACGAAAACGCCAGCAAGAAAAGAGTAGGACAGAGGAATGCAATGGGGTGGCTCCAAAGGCAAAGGAGAAGGCATTAGGAAGCCACGCCTTGGCTGCATAATAAAAGGGAAGGTGTGGGAGGTGCTGGTTGCCAAAGGCAACCATTCGTGTTGAGGATCGAATTTCTGTGAACTGTGTTTGTTTGCCTTGGACATTGACTCAGGTCTGTGAATAATAAAAGGAGATTGGTTTTTTCCTGCGGTTCCAGCCTGCTTGTTGGAAGAGGGTCCATTATATTCACTAATGCCCCTTTCCCTCCTCTTTGTCTATTCAGACCAGGACACTGCTTGTCAAAATCCCTTCAGCTGTGAAATGCTTCTCAGTCAGAGCTGGAGAGGTAGCCAAATGAGGACTGAGAAGCACAAGTGCCCCAGATTTTTCCTAGATGGATAATGAGGAAGGTATCCCTCCTCAAGCCCCCTCCTGCCAGGGAGACTTTAACGGCATACCTGAGTTTCCGACCTCCTTCAGCAATCTTGGTTTTGTTCAGTTGTCCACATTTCTCCACCATCTGCCAAAAGAAAACAATGTCCACAAACTTGCAGTCCTAGCTGTGTCCTGTGGTCCTTCCTGAAATCCATACCACTCCCCATACTCCCAGTTCTTTATAGATCTTTAATTTCCTTCAAACTCGAGCTCCACTGCTAACTCTCCTACTGGATCAGTTGAGGGAGGAACTTCCCTAATGTGGCTGAGCTGCAACTTGTAGCAGCCCCAGTCCACACAGTCAGTGATGAGGATCTGTAGTTTGGTGGCATCTGGGGGACCATAAGTTTCCCAAACCCAGTGTGCAAGAATCCAAACAATTTGGGGCAGTGAGATACAATCATTTTTCAGAGAAGACAGAGAAGAAACACACTGGTACACGCATGCTAAAAAGGACAGGTGGAGATGGCAAAACCAAGAATAGGGTAGGTGTGTCTTCTGAATGCACAGATCCTAGTCCCAGCTAGAGATTTCATCTCCAACAATTCTCTTCCTTTCCATGCCTGCTTCTCTAACTTGATTTCCTTTTACTTATTTCATTCTCTAGATCCTTCTACATTCCCTTTACCATCTCCTTTGTCCCTTCGGTCTCCAAATCTCATTTTTCTTCCTGGGCAACATTCCCAATCTCAGCTGAGCCAAATGAAGAAAGAAGGCAGCAGGATAGACCCACTCCAAAACCCAGAGGGTGGCCTTCTCTGGCATGGCACAACTGGCCTCTGGGGCTAAGCAAGAGAGAACATCTTTCGTCATATCCTTTCAGATAGTGGTGACTGAGGGCGCTGCCATGGGATGGAAAGGGGGATATTTATATACCATTCATCCCAGGAACTTGAGAGGGTAGTACAAATATCTTCACAGATGAGGCATGAGGCAGACGAAGTTGATGGGATGCAATTATAACTCAGGATGTTTATCAAATGACAGATTGAGCCTAACCATTACATTGCTGTATAGTTGTAACATACATGCAGTAATTCAGCATTGTCTGAGATGGAACCATTGATAGAGGATGACGCAGAGTATTCTCCTAACCAGGCCTCGCAGCTATATTGGGAATGATTCCGCCGATGGTTTCCCTGTACAGAGAAAAAAGAAAGCAAGAAGATTTTACCAACCGTTTTGGGTATCCATTCCCTTCCTGCTGCCAGCAGGCACTGCCAAGGCTGAATCTTAGACTGCCAAAACTTAAATGATTGACTAAACTGAGTAGCAGATAGCGGAGTAGCTAATACACAGAACCTCAATATATTTTCTTTCTTCCTTTTGAAAACACTTTACAAAGGAGGAAGTGGCCAACTGGCCCAAATGCTTGATTACCAAACTGAGTTTGCTAATGTAATGGGCAGAAAGAATAACCGTGAGGAACAAGAGGGAGAGCCACAACCAAAACAAAAAACAAAAAACCCTTAAGTGTGGGGCAGAAATGTAATTTGCGAATGTATCTCAGACAGATCGTTTCTAGTTCTACAAAACTAAAGGGGGAGGGAGAGAAAATATTCAGACTTGCAAGATTCTATTACGGTAATGTCATAATAAAAGTAGTATTAGCATTCATAACTTTGGTTTTCTAATCTGATCTACCTGGAAGGGCTAATAGACCCTTCCTTCCTTCCTTCCTTCCTTCCTTCCTTCCTTCCTTCCTTCCTTCCTTCCTTCCTTCCTTCCTTCCTTCCTTCCTTCCTTTTGTTTTCCTCCCTCTCCCACCATCTTTCAATACCTCTCTCCTTCTCTCTCAGTCTCTCTCTTCTGCAGCACACTATAAAAGCTATTTAAAGGACTATTAGCCCCAGTGTTTAAAATTACACACCTACCTGCACTAGTGACTGCTGTCCTGCCCTCTCCTTCAGGTGCACCTCTCCTTTTACCCCAGGGGGATATAGATTAACCTTTCCATTCTGCAAACACTTTTGGCAAAGACATCTCTTTTGTCCTCCAAAACTTGCCATCCCAGTGGATCCCCTTAGGACCGGGGCCTTACCTTGGGAGGCCGCATCTCTGGCAACATCAAGGATTTGGTGTATCCTAGCTTTTTGTGGAGACCTTGAGCCCCAGGCTGCTCCCCGCTCACTCTATCTTCCATTTGGTCCAGGGTGGCTTCTGGCATAGGATCTGCTGGAGCTGAGAGACCATTTCCCTCTATCTGCACCAAGCTCTGGCAAAACAACACAGAAAAGGGGAGGGGGGGAAAAGAGAGAAAAGACATGAGGCAGGCATGAGCCCAACTAATGCTACACTTCCCTGTCACCAATTTGATCCACAGCCACCTATTTCTTTCAAATGTGGGCCTCGATTTCTTCAATGCTGACCCACAGCTGATAATATGGACAGAGCCTTCAGATGTGACAAGGGAATGGGAAGGGTTTACTGTATAGACTAGCTGGCAACCACATGACCTGTTCTGACACAGCACACAATGATTTCTCATTACAGAAATTTCTCAGGCATCAGGCTAGTGACCCAAAATGTAATTTTGGATTAAAGCACCAGAGAGCAGTCAAACTCCAAAGGCAGCCTCTAGAAGGCACTAGCAATTTGATTGGAAGCATAGAGTACAGCAAATATTTGACCTATGACTGCAATTGAGCCCACAATTTTGGTCGTAAGTCATGACAGTTGTAAAGCAGGTCACCACGTGTCTGCGCCTGATTTTATGGCCCTTCCTGTGGTCGTTGTTAAGTGAACACAGCAGTTGTTAAGCGAACCCATTATTTGCTATGCGACTTTTTTTGCTGAAAACCAGAAGTAAACACCAGTTTCTGGGGAAAAATGTCAGAACTCACAGTCACATGATCACGGCATGCCGCAAATGGCTATAAATGTGGGCTGCCAAGCAACCATAATGCAATCAAGAGACCACAGGGGATCCAAACATCATAACTCTGAATCTGAATCATAAGTAGTTTTTTTCAGTGTCTGTCAGGACTTTGAACAGTCACTAAGTGACCAATTGCAAGTGAAGGACTACTTGTATGTCAGCTCAGTATTTGCCAGCTAAATTCTTGCTGGATAAAGGCACAAACCTCTCAAAAGTAAGGATTTGATTGCTGAAGCTAAGTAGCCTGGATGTCTTCCCCCCACCCCACAACAACTCTAGCTTCTCACCATCTCTTGACTCCTCCTGGGTGGCTTCCATGACTTTTCACCTGTTGCGGGCTTATAGTAGTAACTACGCAGGGAGCTGGAATCTATGTGACGTTCCCAGGCTTCCATCATCTGTAATGGTGGGCTGCGTGGGGAAGGAGGTGTTGTTGGTAATTGCTTCATCTCCTCCAGATTGTAATAAATTGGAGGCTTCTCCCCAAGGAGAGATGGAGGAGTATCATCCAACATCTGCCAGAAAGAAGCAGGAAATAAATCAGAGTTGGACTTACCATAACATACCGTTCCATCACTGGAAGATGGACCTGGTAGGAAAGGGTTAACTCTACCACTTTAACTCAGAGAGTAAAGCTTCTTCCTGTCCCATGGAAGAAACCTCATCCATTGAGTAACTATGTCTCAGGCCAATTTACTTCACAAAGCTGTTGTGAGGAAAAACGGGAGAAAGGATAACTGCATATGCTGCCTTATGTTCCTGAACAAAAAGTGGGATTAGAAAAAAAAAATTCTAACAAATACAGTGAATCACTAAATTCCACTGTGACAACAAGAACTTGCAATAGGTAGGGTATATGGGAAGAGAAGAACAATGTGTAACAATCAGTACAAGGCAGTAAAGTAACTGTCCCCTTGACCATTGGGCTGCTCAGGTACAGGTAGTCCTTGACTTACAACAGTTCATTTAGTAACTGTTCAAAGTTACAGTGGCACTGAAAAAAACCTGACTTATGACTGTTTTCACACTTACAATCCCTGCAGCATCCCCATGGCCATGTGATCAAAATTCAGAGGCTTGGCAGCTAACTCATATTTATGACGGTTACAGTGTTCTCGGATCACGTGATCCCCTTTTGCAACCTTCCGTCAAGCAAAGTCAAAGGGGAAGCCAGATTCATTGCACAACCACGTTACTAACTTAACAACCGCAATGATTCATTTAACAGCTACGGCAAGAAGAGTTGTAAAATGGGGCAAAACGCATACTTAGCAAGAGAAATTTTTGGCTCAGTTTTGGTCATACATCAAGGATTACCTGTACTTTTAATCTTCTCTGCTTTCCTAAACAAGCAGAGACTGTAGCCTTCTCATTCCTCTCTCTCATGCCTGCAAATAGGCAGGTGATATGGATGAATAGGAGCCAGTAGATGGGCTTCTCTAAGTGCCAGCAACTGGCTCCCTCTCCTCTCTCTAGTTGGAGCCATGTAAAATTATGGTCTGGAAAAAGCTTCATTTTTTGGGGGGGGGGGGAAAGGGCAGCTGGGGGCTCCTATACCTTTCTTGAGTACTCTTTCTCTAGTTTCTGAGTTGCATAATGGACACACTAGGCAAGTCATGCCTCCCTTGTCCTATTCTAGGGGTTGTCACCCAGTTCAGTATACCTCCACATCTACCATCCTCCAGTTTTTCTATCAGCCATCCTGCTGAGGGAATCTTGGGGGCTTGCTACCCTTGTGCTCTACAGGATATGTGCTGCTGTGTTGCTTCTCAAGCTTCTAGGCCAGTTTATTTTTATTTAGCATATGGCAAAATATTAAAAACCACATCAAAATTACATTCTCAATGAGCAAATATGAAGCTACAGTACTCAGTTTACAAATTCGAAGGTAGGCTATTTATACCGTATATGGACTATTTATATATGGTAGAGTATATATATATGTATGTATGTATGTATGTATGTATGTATGTATGTATGTATGTGTATGTATATGTATATGTATATGTGTGTGTGTGTGTGTGTGTGTGTGTGAGAGAGAGAGAGAGAGAGAGAGAGAGAGAGAGAGAGAGAGAGAGAGAGAGAGAGAGAGAGAGAGAGAGAGAGAGAGAGAGAGAATATACATGAAATACAGAAAGCTCTGGGGTTTCCCTGACATGCGTTCAAAGGAAGAAGCCTCCCCGAAGAGTGTAGAAATCCTAAACTCAGGTGTCCCCTGAGCAACAACATAGAATCGGCTAATTGTTCCACAATGACAGCCAGACAATCCTTGTAATCTCCTGGCTTAAAGCACATCAGTATGAGAAGACCTCCGGACTTAGCTTATAGAAGGACTTAACATATAGACGTTTAGGCCAGTGTTTGTCAACCTTGGCAGCTTTAAAATGTGTGGGCTTCAATCCCAGAATTCCCTAGCCAGCATGTCAAGTTAGGCATTTTTCTGAATTTTTCACATGCCAAGCCCAAAATGTTCACCATTCCAGTCTGACCATGTAGTACTTTCAAAGGTGGCCTCATGTCAGCATGAGAGAGAGAGAGAGAGAGAGAGAGAGAGAGAGAGAGAGAGAGAGAGAGAGAGAGAGAGAGAGAGAGAGAGAGAGCAGAGTTTCGTGAGCGCAGACTTTCTAGGGGCTTTTAGGACTGTTAATTCCTCTTGCCATCTTGACTGGCTACTCTGACAGTTTCTAGCTGGCCAATTAGATTTTGCTCTCCCAATGCTCCTCATGAAGAGGAGGAAGAATGCTTTTTTCAATATGTCAAAGAATCAGCACCAGTGGAGGGTAAGGGTTTTCTCAGTGGCCTTCACCCCTGAAGCACTGCAGGCAAAATTAAAGCCAATGCTACCACTTTCCCCCTCCATAGTCTGCAACCTTTGAAGACCTAATCAAGGTCTTTCTGTATTTCCTAGGCTATTTCCCTGGCCCAGCATCATAGCACTTTCAGGTGTGGCTTCTTGCCAGCATGCCTATCAGAAAGCACTTCATGCAGGATGGGGAAGAGCTCTGGTTTCGGTCTTCATCTTCATTATTTCCTTTTTTATCTCCCAAGATTGAGCCCTGGTTCCTCCAGAAAGCAGAACAGAAGGCTGAAGCGAGAGGCATTTCCTCTAAGGTCAAAGAAGATGACTGAAGATCCTTTTTTATCAAAACCAACTTCAGCTATGGAAAGGTGACTTTTACTTATTGAAGAGCCAGACTTCCCCTTGCTGCAGGATACAAGGAAGGATTAATGATATTTCAGGGATTTATGAAATTTTATAGTGGGTCCTATAAAAACAGTGAGCCATCTAAGTGTCAGAATAAACTGGGTAGTGCTGATACTTTGGTCACCAAAACATTTGCTTATTTAAATGGGAGGGGGGAAAGGTCAAAACCATTAAGAGAAACATGTCATAATTCTATAATCCTGCTGCTCAATTCATCTAGGTTCTAGCCTATCCTATTTAGCATTGTTTTGGGGGTTTTTTTAAGCAGCCATGGTCATTGTTTCAGTTGTTTCTGTGGTTTAGTTGAGAACAGAGCAGAATGTTTAAATAAATAAATATGTGGTCCTCTATTACAGGTTGATTCCGCATTTTAGAGTTTCGTCAACTTGAGACATGTAATAAAAGACCTAAGAGAAAGAGCAAGAATGGAATGTTTACTCCAATTCCCACAAAATGTTAATTCCCCCTAATTTAACTTGTGCCTTAAAGATTAATGAGATAGGGTCTATAAAGTTTTAGTGTTTGTAAATTATTATAATAACAGAATAACAGAGTTGGAAGGGACCTTGGAGGTCTTCTAGTCCAACCCCCTGCTCAGGCAGAAAACCTTATAGCACTTCAGACAAATGGTTATCCAATCTCTTCTTAAAAACTTCCAGTTTTTCCACCCAGAACTTCTGGAGGGAAGTTGTTCCACTGATTAATTGTTCTGTCAGGAAATTTCTCCTTAGTTCTAGATTGCTTCACTCCTTGATTAGTTTCATGCCTTGGCTTAGAACAGGGGCTATCTCTATCTCTTAACCACTGCCAAGCTTTCTGTCTCAAATCCTTGTGGGACCATATCTTCAGAACTTCAGAATTGAATTGAATTGAACTGAACGGAATTGAATATTTTATTTGTGTGTGATTAAACATCCAAGGAATTTGTCTCTGGTACAGACACACTCAATGTACTTGCAAAGCAACAGAGATGATGATGATGATGATGATGATGATAATAATAA